CTGTAGAATTAGTAAAACAACAATTAGATGAGGAAAAACAGAATGTATCTCAGGATGATCCTGATAATCCGATAGGTGTTCAAAATATTGAAGCTGGTGAAGCGATGCAAGATTTTAAAGATCTCGGTGACAAATTAGTTCAGGAAATCGACGTATCTGAAATGATTTCAAAACTGAATGCAGATCAAAGAAGAGTGTTTGATAGAGTTATCGATACTGTATTATCGGAGAATAAATCGTTGTTGCGATTGTATGTTAGTGGAGAAGGAGGTACTGGCAAAAGTTTCTTCATAAGAACAATTAAATGCTGGATTAAACAAAACCTCAACAAGGATACTGCCGTAGCAGCCCCTACTGGTATAGCAGCGTTTAATGTAGACGGTTTAACAGTTCACAGATTGCTTCAATTACCTGTTGAACATGGTCAGACTCCTAAATATAAACAATTGTCCGATCATGTGTTGAAAGTTTTACGAGCAGATCTCAAAGATGTCATTCTTTTTATAATTGACGAAGTGTCAATGATATCTAATTTGTCATTTATGTATATACATCTACGATTATCTCAAATATTTGATACTATTGATTGCGATGACGGTTGGTTTGGCCGAAAGCATATTCTTTTATTTGGAGATTTGCTTCAGTTACCTCCTGTACACGAAGATCCTGCTTTTGTACCTTTATCGGATGAAAAAATTTCTAAATACCTCGGTTCGTTATGTGCTCCTAATATATGGGCTACGTTATTTAATTATGATGAATTGACAATCAACATGCGCCAGCAAGGAGATGGATCTTATCGTGAATTACTATCGAGAATTCGCGTTGGTTTGGTAATTAAGTCTGATTATGATATTCTCGAAAGTAGAAAAATATCTTTTAAAGGTGTAACTTTTGAAACGAGATTACAAGAATTATGTAATTATATTGATAATTTTCCGTCTGACGCAGTTTGTTTATTGCCTACTTGTCATATGTGTGACGTTCTTAACGCTGCAATGCTAAATCGTATTGCTTCGAAAGAAATATTATTAACTGCTGAAGATGCGATTCAATGTACTAAATATATTAAAAAGAAGGTTGAAAAGCTATTGTTAGATACTGATGATGACAATTCTAGAACAGCTGGACTTTCGAAACTAATTACTATTAAAATTGGAGCGAAAATTATGATAAGACGCAATATCGATGCCAGTTTGGGTCTTGTAAACGGTACGATCGCTAAAGTTACTTCAGTTGTACAGGATATCTCTAGTAAGTATATAGAAAAGATCAAGGTTCTTGTACCATCCGGTTCCGAATATTTAATTGAAAGAGTAAACGTCAAGTTTAAAGTAATGGATAGAGCATATGTTATAAGAAAACAATTTCCAATTTCTTTGAGTTACGGCATCACCATTCATAAAAGCCAAGGATTGAGCTTGCAAAACGCCATTATGGATATAGGTAATTCTGTATTTAGTTGTGGGCAAGTATATGTTGCTTTATCTCGAGTAACATCTCTCGATGGTGTACATTTAATTAATTATGATCCTTCATCTGTAATAGCTAGTGAAGAAGCTATTATTGAGTATAATCGATTGAAAAAGACATATAAACCGCAAGCGGAAATAATTACTATTTCGACGAAACGTCGTCATAAAGTGAAAGACGTTCTGTGGACATCGTCAAAAGTAATTGCTTCCGTTCAAGAGCAAGATGAAGGAGCTCAACGAAATACTGCTTATTGGATCATACGTGGTTTTCAAAATACAGATAACGTCTCATGCTATGCAAATGCAGTGTTACAATGCTTATTGCAGTCAAGTATTATTCGAAAAGAGTTGGTTAATGCTGATAAACTTGATGCTTTAAGAAAATTAGCGCATCGATATGAAAGCGCAATACAT